GAAAGTCCTGAATAGTTGGAAGCTAAATAACATGTTTCTAAATAACTCATCAGTCAAAGAAGAAATCAAAGGAGTACTGTGGATGTTTTGGACCAGCTAATTCTTTGTTTGGGAGGGGACAGGGTGACGGCTGTCTCGTGCACTGTAGAGTGTTCAGTAGCATTCCGGGCCTCTGCCCACTAGATGCCAGCAGCACTCCTCCCCTCACCCCACCTCCCACAGCTGCAACAACCAAAAATATCTCAAGACGTGGGAAACACTCCCCTCCCTGACCACACTGAGAACCACTGTTCTAGAGTCAAGGTGAAAAGCAGATTACAGGAATTTGAGAATGAAAGCAGTTAGAATATGGCTGCAGTGGTAAAAGTGAAGTATGATGAAGGTCTGAACTGCATCAGCAGTAGTGGGCTTGAGCTGGAAGGAGTGGGACAATAAAACTTAAATATTGTTTGGGTGATAGGGTAGACTAGAGTAAGAACTCAAGACTTGGTTTGTATAAGTAGGTGGATGATGGTGTCACTAAAGAGATGATCACAGTACATGTAACAGAAGACATATAGGACAGGTATTCTTGTAAGTCTGTCACAGTGGCTGAATTTTCTGACTCCAAAGAACCTCTGGATAAACAGAATTAGAAAAAGTAAAACTGTGTTAACAGTGCTCTGATTTGATTTTGGTTTTGATGAGTGTGATGTGAAGAGGTCTTCCTCATCCCCAGAATCATGAGAGTCACCACTCACACTGTAAAATGGAGGACTACATCAGGAATCTGGTTTCTCTCAGTATGACTGCAGCAGGGCACCCAAGAGGGGCAAGGAGGGGCATTCAAGTTAAACATGCAGTTGTAAAGATTATCCTTCCATAGCTGCTCAGAAATATAGACCTCTCCTCCAGAAAGCAGATAAAAGACAGCCAACTGGAATGTGCCATTCCTCCTTAGATTGGTATCTATGTCTATGTTTATTTTTTTTATTTACAAGGCATAATATGAACATGGTGACCTTTTGCCTTGTTTTATATCTTAATACACTTCAATTATCAGAAGTTGTTACATGCAGTAGTAAATAACTGGTTGAAATAATTTACCTTGGGGTGAAAAGCAAAACACATTCCAGGAGCTTGTCGAGATATCAAAGCTTCACCTTTCTTTTCCTTTTCCATTCTTTTGCTGGTGCTGGCAGTAGTTCGCCTCAAACGCATCAAATCTTCATTTAAAGAAAAGATATTTATCTTATTTACCACATGAAGAAGTATTGTAGATATACTGTGTCTTTTCTGCAGATAATAATATGATGTCTGCCATCTTTTGCATGTCATTAGGCTAAAATTAGCAAATACCAGAGCTAGTGCTTAGAAAACAAATGACCAAGCCCAGTTTCTCTTATGTAGCCAAACCTGAATTTGTCTCCTCTTACACCTGGTTCACTAGAAATTTTTAATTCAGGACATAAGAGAAAGATAATTCGATGTGTGTGTGTGTATTAATTTATTTATTTCCTTTTACCGTGACAGTCCAGTCCTTTCCGTATAACCCATTTGGAGATTCTTCCATCCGCTGATACAGAAACTAGTATTTCCCTTTTGTCATCGCCTGTTGTTCCTCGATCTTGTTCTATCCACTGAAGCTGCCAGACAGGTCCCAAATGTTTTTGAGGTGATTCACTGAAAAAAGGAAAAGTACTAAATATAAAATTGTTATAATAATTTCTAAAAAGCCTTGGAGTATAAGTTTATGACAACTCCCTAGAGCATTATGACCTTCTTATAGAATGATGCTTTTATGGTGTAAAACTGGACTTTTTACTTTAAACATTATGAAAAAACAGGAAAAATAATGACTTTGCTAATATTCACTGATGTCTTGCTCATTTCTTATAAAAGGAAAATTTTACTGCCTTTAGCTATGTTAGCTA